TAGCCGGTTGAGCTATAGGTGCCGAGCCCATATTAATATTTCTGATCTCAAACACTGCTGGAAAGAGCTTTCCACTAGGAGTCAGGAAGCCCAGATTCTCATCCCCATTCGGCTCCTAATGCCTTGAGCCATTTCGAGGTTGTCAAATGTCCTCTCTGGTCCTCAGCTTTCCCTGTGTATAAAATGAGGACTGCCTCAGCGCTGATAGCTCAGTGTGTAGGGCACCAGCCACATACACCGAGGCTGGCAGGTTCGAACCTGGCCCAGGCTGCTAAACAACAATGACAACTGCAACAAAAAAATAGCCAGGCATTGTGGTGGGCGCCTGTAGTCCCAGCTACTTGGGAGGCTGAGGCAAGAGAATCGCTTCAGCCCAAAAGTTTGAGGTTGCTGTGAGCCGTGACGCGACAGTACTCTACAGAAGGCAATATAGTGAGACTCTGTCTCAAAAAAATAATAATAAAATAAAATAAAATGAGGATTGGACTTCGCACGAAAAGCCCGCGGGTGTCAAAACTTCAGTCCTCTACTTGGGGAGGCTGAGGCAGGAGACTCGCTTGAGCCCAGGAGTTGGAGGTTGCTGTGAGCTGTGATGCCAGAGCACTCTACCCAGGGGGTTAGCTTGAGGCTCTGTCTCAAAACAAAAACAAAAACAAAACACTTCAGCCTTTACCGACTTGAGCGCCCAGAGAGAACGCCACTGGCGCTAGAGGGCGCCAGGGCGGCAAGAGCCAGGGGGAGGAGCCTGTGGCGAAGGGGCGGGGGCGGCGGCCGGCAGGCCCTAGAGCCAGGTGTGGTTTGGTCCTCCCCGGGCGCCGTAGGCGGTGCATCCCGTTCGCGCCTAGGGCTGAAATCGTTCCTAGCCTCAGGCGGCTGCTGGAGCTGAGGGGCGCTGTTGTGGTCCCGGTCTCTTCTTACACATTTTCGCGCTCCCGGGGCCATGTCCGCGCTGGCGGGTAAGGAAGGGCTTTGCTTCCCGGTCCCACCGTTATCTCCGAAACCTGGGCCCGTGGCGCCTCAGGGGAACTGGTGGCCTCGGGGATTTCGGGCTGACTGGATCCTGGTGGGTCTCCGCTCGTCAGAAGGAAGTCTTGGCGAGGGGGATGGGCACAGCGTTCCGCTGGTCTCGAGGCTCTGGGAACTGGGAGGGCGAGGCATCCGGGAGACCCAGGGCTCCGAAGGGTGGGCAGATTGGGCGGCTTCCCGGGAATTGAAGTTCCCGGGAGGAAGGATTCTGGCTCTGCCAGAAACTGGTTTTGGTGGTGGTAGGGGGAACCTGGCGGCCGCAGGCTCCAAAATTAACACCCTTTCCAAGGAAGTTGAAGGACGTGTGATTCTCTTAGGGTGAAGCCTGTACAGAATATGGGAAGTACAGGCCCTTCTAGCGTTCAGGGCAATTAGGAGATGGAGAGGTATCGGGGCTTTGGGTTCTCTGTGGAAAACGGAGGAGGATATGACTTACCCACCAGTCCCACGGGTTTTCGTGGGTATCTTGGTGCCTGGGATCTCCTGGATCTTGGAGGTCTTGGGGAATAGGGGAATGTTTTAGAATAGGACTAGGGGTAGGAAGAGTTTGGACCATTCTTCCTAGGGTTCAGAGACCTGTCCTACAGGTTAGGAAAACAGGCTCCATGGGTTTCTGAATCCCGCTGTTGAAGTGGGTCCTCCCTTGACCTTTGTGAGACCAGAGGGATGTGGCTAAACCCCTCCAGGAAGGAAGAATTGTGGAAGAATTGTCTAAGGGTGAAGGGTGACTTCAGAATTGTTAGCAATGCCTGCAGTCCCTTTCCCATCACTTCACACACCACCCTGCTGCTTCCTGCCCTCATAGTCTGTTAACCCAGCATCAGGAACCTTCTGTCCCATATGTTTCCTAGGCACCTGTGTGGGTGGCCTGGTTTCTGGTTCCACTAGGGTCAGCGTCCAGAAGCTTTCTAGATGCAGCAGGAGGGAATGGCA